ACCTCACTAGAGGGCTGGGCTTCAACCTAGAATGTTAGAGAGGCTGGAGGATTTTCGAGCAGACGCTTGGCCAGAATACTGTGGAGCAGCGTGCAGGTGTGGAGGGAGGGGCTGAGGTGGAGGGTCCACGCGGGGCAGAGGTGCAGGGCGGGGCTGGGCCAGTAGGTCTGGAAATGAAAATAAGACACGTGTGGAGCTCAGGGAGAATGAGTGAGAATCTGATTAGAGAGCCAGGGAGAAGAAAAGGAGGAAGTGGCTCCCATATCCCCCCTGGCTGCCCAGGAGGCTGGGAACAGAGCCCAGCCGGGAGCTGGGAGGAGAGGCCCTGCAGCGAAGGTGGAACTAGGGCGCCCTCTTCTGGACAGTAAAAGCCGGCTGTGCACCGTGCTGTCAGCCCCGGCCCAGCACCACCTAGAGGTCTTTCCAGAACCGGCTGATGCTGAGTCATCACTAACTTCCAAACACTTGGTAACTAAGAAGCTGGTAACCAGGTAGCAATTCAGACAAGTCTGTGCAGAGAAGAGAGGCTGTCAAGCCAGCTACTGCATCTTCTAATGCATACTACCTCACACTTAGAAGCCGTTCAGTGATACCAAAGAATCACACTCGACGTAAAGTAGAAGAGAACATAATCTGTGGAAGAAAAATAAAGGCAGGTCTCCCGGGGAATGTTAAAATACGTGCAGAGTTGATAGAGGACTGAAATCGTGATCATTAGCTGGTAAGGCGACACTGGAATACTTAAGGCTATCAACTGTTGAAATGTGGAAGGTGTGAACAACTTAAGAACATTGCACTTAAGAATTTGCAATTTGGCAAAGAGAACAGGAGGAGAAGGAGACTGGGCTGCACGGGTGGGAGGCGACTCAGTGGGAGGCCTCTGGGGCTTCCTTGCTAGACACGCCTCAGCACCCAGCTCCCTAATTTCCACATCCATCCCGTGACAGACATGTGTCCTGGGCCACTGACAACGCCAGTGAAATGGCTGCTCTGGCCTGAGAGTCATGAGAAGAAAACTGTCAGCGACCTTCCAGCACCTACTGCTCGGACCCCATTTCCCTCCAGTCTCATCTCTTACTCTGCTCCCCTGTGTCCGCAGCTCTGGCCTTAATGCCTCCTTGCTATTCCTCAAACATTTCAGGACTCAGGGACTCCGCACTTGCTGTTCCCTCTACTGGGTCCCTGAAGTGAAAGCAATGTTCCCCTCACTTCTTTCCAGCTTTGTCTCGGATATCAGGTTCTCAAAGTGGTCTTCCCGATCAACCCATTTAAAATTCCACACACATACACACTCCCTATTCCCCCTCCATGCTTCTTTTTCTCCCCAAAGCCCTCACCATCTTTAAATATTACATTTTACTTGTATATGTTATCTGCTCCCCACTCCCCAAGATGCAGGGCTCCAAGAGGACAGGGATTTTGTTCTGTGGTTTTGTTTTTTGTCCGCTGCTCTATCTCCCACTACAAGAACAGTGCTGGGCACAAGGCAATCACTCGATAACTATTCGATGGGTTCCAATGAATCAGGTCTTGGCTCGGCAATACCCAGCGTTCACCCCCATGGAGACTACGTGACTGACCTTGGGCCAGCTGGGCTGGGGTTGGGGGTACACCTGGCGGGGGGTTCTCTGCAGCCTTTAATTACCTACATCTGACTGCTCCTGCTTTCTCCTTTCCCAGGCTGGGGGAGGTCTGTGTGGAAGCGAGAAAAAAAAACACACTTTGCCTTTCACCTACGCAGGAGTTTAGAGTTGGAAAACTGAGAATTGGGTGCCTCGATTTTTGGATTTTGAAGGGATGCCCTTTCTCAACAGCTGAGGGTGATCACCGCCGGCTGGCTGCCTGGGAGATGGTGTTCAGGACACAAGTGGAAAACTATAGTGAGCACAGCGAGCTTGGACCAGGGGGAGATAAGAGAGCAAATGGCTTCCTTTCTCTGAGGTGTTAAGCCTCCCCTCCCAGGTTCTATCTCTCGCTGCTGCTGTTAAGACCGGCGGGCTTAACCAAATGGCTTGACCCATCCTGAGCCTCAATTTTCTCACCTGTACAATTTCTTCACCTATAAACTCAGGTTAATGGTAACAGTCCTGGGCAAACGGAATAAGATACAACCTGTGTTTGCGTTTCAAAGCATCAGGAAAGGGAATAGCTGTCAAGGAAGGCTGCGAGCACAGGGTCGAATGTAACATCCTCTCCAAATGGGTGCCCCAAACATCTTGTTTTAAAGGACAAACAGGACAAGAATAACTGGTGAGTAATGATGCTGAGACATCTGTCCTGTTCTTTCTAGTTGTAAAAAGAAAAACATTAGAGTTTTGTATTGAATAGGAAAAAAAGAAACGAAATTGAAAGAAATAGAGGAAGCAAGCATTTGTAGCATCAACAGATCAAACTCCAAACTTCTAGTTTATACAAGGGCATTTTCCCAGTAACATATCCAGCTAGAAATTGCCCGATGGTGTCAGGGCCAGGTCAGGGCCAGGCTTAGGCAAACCTGGGCAGCGTTCCCACTGGTTTTCACTGTCCCCCCACCCCCAGCACTCTGTGCCCACTCTGGTTCCTCCGTGCCCCCAGCAGGCATTGGTTGTCCCATGCCATTCCCAGGAGCCCAGGGACTCCAAGTGTCCTACAGGCCATACATCCCTGGGAAACGTCTCAAGCCCAGAGCAGTCAATTTCCAGAACTCGGCTCTCTCCTCTCCAACCAGCGATCTCATTCGCTCGCGCCCAGCTTTCCAATCCACATTCATTCAACGGCTAAACGAAACTCCCAAAGCTCCCCTCTCCGGGGAACTCGGGCCTCCTCCTCTACTGCTTCATCCACTGCAGCTCCACGTGGCCGTCAGAGTCGCCCAAGATGAACACCTGCTTTGAAAACCTTTCCCGGGCTCTCCTCTGCTTACAGAAGTGGTTCTCAGCCTGGGTGCAGATGAAAAACACACATGCCAGTGAACACAATCCACTCCAAACCCACTAATTCAGACCCTCTGTTTCTAACTCAACTCGGATGTGCCGTCGCCGTTGGGAACCTGGCTCCTGAAGTCCCAGCTCCTCTTCCGGCCACAAGCCGTCCTAAGCCAGGGCCTCTCTCCTGCCTCCTTGCTCACCGTCATCTGCACGAACAGCCCAGGGATGCTCCCCAAATACACCTGACCACTTCATGCCCAGGCGGTTTTGCACATCCCTCTGTGGGTCTAGGACCTCATGACTCAAAGTGCGGTCCCCAGACCAGCAGCATCCACCTCACCCGGGAACCCAGAGCCGCAGCATAAGGAATCTGCATTTTAGCAACATCCCCAGCTGATCTGTAGGAACATTAAAGTCTGAGAGACACTCTGGATCCTTTCCCAGCTCGCATCTCTGCAGAATTCACATCATGCTTCCATCTCTCACTCAAGTAACTCTTCTGCGAAGCCTCTCCACCCTCATCCTCTTCCCTCCCAGCCCTCTCCCCCAAGGAACTAACCCTCCCCACTTCATGATACCACGTCTGTAGCACCCAAGCACCCAAACCAACGTACTTCCCTGTGCCCGTGTTAAGTAATGTTAGGACCAAACAAAATAATCTAGCTGTTCGCTTCGGGAAATACACGCTCCTAGAAGAAAACAATGAACCAGCTAGACAGCTGACTTACCAAGACTCATAGCTTGTGCATCAAGAGTGGCCCCAGGTCCTCACTTCACGGTGCCCGCCGATCCAGAGAAAGCTAGGAAGGCGGAACTCGGCCCAATCCTGACCCCACCGTGCAAGACGCACCTGAAACTCACCCAGTCCAGGCCCTGGAACCATACAAACACCCTGCCCTCATCTCCGTTTTCGAGACACTACCAAGACGATCCAGGTTATGTTCTCCCTCGTCGTGGTAGATCTAATAAATGCAGCTCTGCTGAAGCAACAGGTTTGTCCAGTGGCCTTTCAGACAGTTGACAGGCAACGCACCAATCAGAGTATAGCAGCTGTTTATTTGTATGGTGGCTATGACCCCGTTCCCGCAGCGCTGCCCCTTCCTGGTTTCTCTCTCTCTCTCTCTCTCTCTCACACACACACACACACACACACACACACACACACACAGACTCGCACACGGAACATCAAAACAACACAACCAGATGACTGAAAAGCTGAGCTGGAAACAAGAAGAGAGAGGAAAGCAGAGTGAAAGGAAGGATGGGCCAAGGAGCAGCTGAGAAGAGAGACGGGGCCAAGGAGGGGAAGTTTCCCATCAGGCAGGAAATAACCGGTCCTGGGCTGAGCCTAGCAGGACTCCTGCTCACCCCTCCTTCCCGAAGGAGCTCAAGACAACTGAATTGAATACGGCAGAGGAGCCAGTTTCAAATCCGGACAGCCCAGTGGAATTTTAGGACGGAATATACAACTTGAACCTGAAACTAAAGACTCTTCTGTATATTCTGTACATTCTAAGAGATTTATTATATGTATGGAGTTGTGAGTTATGTGTACTGAGTACTGAATACATGTATAATATGTACTTGATCACTCAATTGCATGTGTGTGTATACAGATATATAGAAATATACACATATATACATTTATTGTATATATATATACACATTTACTATATATATATCTACACACATACACACACAGTTACTCTATGTATGTATATATAGTAAATGTGGCACACATATAACAGCTTGGGTACCTTTGTGTAAGAATGCTTCTATTCCTTCAATGTTATGTGACCTCTCTCTCTCTCTTTCCCTCTCTGTCTGTAGTTCTTTGAGAGCTATCAAGACAGAGAAAACATAGGTTAAAATTAAATAATCGAGACAAAAGAATCTTTTGAGCTTATGTTGAAAGGATAGGAGCAAAAATAATTACAAAGTCATGACCTTAGTAGGAAAAAACGTACTTGGATTTATCCAGAACTTTCTAATCCAAATATGAAAATAGTATCAGGTAATTTTTCAGCACTGATGAATTAATTATCTATTGCTACATAACAAATTACCCCCAAATTCAGTAACTTAAGACAACAAACATTTATTTTTTCACTCAGCACCCGAGGATTGGGAGTCCGGGAATGACACAGCTGAGTGGTTCTGAGCTAGTGGCTCTGGGTCTCTTACAAGGTTGTGGTCAAGATGCTGGCAGGGTCTGCAGTCATCCAAAGGCTTGACTGGGGCTGGGAAGTCGCTTCCCATGAGCTTCACTCGAAGGGCTGTTGGTAGAACATCTCAGTGTCACGTGGACCTCTACAAGACCCCTCACAGTTTTCCCCAGAGGAAAGAGCAAGCAGGAAGAGCCCATGACTTTATGAGCCGGTCTCTGAAGCCTCACACTGTCACCTCCTCTTGAGTCAGTCATATACACACTACTGTATATAAAATAGACAATAAGGACCTATTGTAGAGCACACGGAACTCCACTCAGTACTCTGTAACGGCCTATATGGGAAAAGAATCTAAAAGAGTGGATATGTGTATACATATAAATGATTCACTCGGCTGTGTCCCTGAAACTAACACAACATTGTAAATCAACTAAACTCCAATTAAAAAAAGAGAAGGGAGTCAGTAAGTCCAGCCCACACTGAACTACATGGTAATGAGGCTCCCCCTTTTGAAAGGAATGTTAAATAATTTGTGGACATTATTTATTTGTTTATTTTATTTATTTATTTATTTAGCGGTACACGGGCCTCTCACTGTTGTGGCCTCTCCCGTTGCGGAGCACAGGCTCTGGACGTGCAGGCTCAGCGGCCATGGCTCACGAGTCCAGTCGCTCCGCGGCAATGTGGGATCTTCCTGGACCGGGGCACGAACCCGTGTCCCCTGCATCGGCAGGCGGACTCTCAACCACTGCGCCACCAGGGAAGCCCTATTTGTTTATTTATTTATTTTTGGCTGTGTTGGGTCTTCATTGCTGAGCGTGGGCTTTCTCTAGTTGCGGCGAGTGGAGGCTACTCTTCTTTGCAGTGTGCGGTGGCTTCTCTTGTTGCAGAGCACAGGCTCTAGCTAGGCGGGCAGGCTTCAGTAGTTGTGACTCGTGGCCCTAGAGCGCAGGCTCAGTAGTTGTGGTGCGTGGGCTTAGCTGCTTTGTGTACATAGTTTAAACCATCACATTCCTCCCACACGCAAAATACTCTCATCCCTCCCAACACCTCCCAAAAGTCTCAACCCTGTATAACATCAGCTTAAAGTCCCGGATGTCACCATTTCTTTATTTATTTATTAAAATATATACTTTACTACTTAACTCAACAATTGTTTACTTTTTTTAAGATTTTTTTTTGATGTGGACCATTTTTAAAGTCTTTATTGAATTTGTTACAATATTGCTTCTGTTTTCTGTTTTGGGTTTTTGGCCCTGAGGCATGTGGGATCTTAGCTCCCCAACCAGGAATCGAACCTGCACCCCCTGCACTGGAAGGCGAAGTCCCAGCCACTGGACCGCCAAGGAAGTCCCCAGGATGTCATCATTTAAACCAGGTCTCAGGACAGGTGAGTCTCCTTAGGTGAAGTCTTTAAGTACGGATCTTCAAGTAGAGTTCAGACTTTAGTTATGAACTAAAGATATTATCTGAAGCATCTATTAGTTATCTGTCACTCTGAGACAAGGTACCCCAAAGCTTATTGGTTTAAAGCAACATTTATCATCTCCGTTTCTGTGGCTCAGGAATTCAGAGATAGTTTTGCTGGTAGGTCTGACTCAGTGTCTCTCAGGAGGCTTCAGTCAAGGTATCAGCTGGGGCTGTGTCATCTGGAGGCTTGATGAGGCTGGAGGACTTGCTTCTAAGATCAGTCACTGACATGGCTGTTGGCCGGAGGCCTCAGTTTCTCACCATGTGGACCTTTCCACAGACCACTTAAATGTCCTCATGACATGAGAGTTAGCTTTCCCCCGAGTAAGTGATCCAAGAGCAAGCAAGCAAGATGGAAGCCAGGATGTCTTTTATGACCTAGTCTCTGAGTTGACAAATCACCACTTCTGCTGGGTTCTTTTGGTCACACAGAACACCTGATATGATATGGAAGTGGACTACACAAGCGGACTACACTTATGAATCCAGGAGGCAAGGCTCATTAGGGGCCATCCTGGATACAGGCCAGCATGCAGGCTAATGAATTAATGTTAGAAGCTGGACCCAGGAGCAATGTCAGAGGCCATAGAGTCTTGTAATGTTTCTGCCACTCTTCATATGATCTTCATACAGCAACAAAACTTATGGGTGCCATGAAAATGGGGGTCTTATATAATAACTGTTTCTACCAGATGAATGATTATTGAACGGTGATGACTGACCAAGAGGAGTTGTGTGAAAACAGCCCACAGACACAGGTGTTGCAGACACATGTTTATCTGCAAAGAGCGTACTTTAAAGTCACATGAACCTGGCAATTGTGGTCTTGGAAAAAAATCACTGGCTTTCTCTCTTCCTTGGTTTGTCTTCTCAGCTCCAAAAAGAGCAAACAATAGCTTCTTCGATGACATTTTATAGGAATTCAAAATTACATGTGTAAGGCAAACAGCAATTATTAAATTAAATTAAAAAATAACTATTGTAAAGATTACTTCATATTTCATGATATTGTATGGTAACCATGTGAGTTGATCGATGTCTTTCAGTTTTTGGAAAGAAATCTATAAATTCATAAAACATAAATCTCTCCCATTTTATATCTCATATAACCACATTTCAGAAAACTAATAAAGAAAAAAATCATCCATTACCCTGCAACTCTAACACAACCTCATCACCATATTTCCTTCCAGCCTCCTTTTCTATGCACTTTTCCCATAATTGAAGTCAAGAGTGTACATAGGGGCTTCCCTCGTAGCACAGTGGTTAAGAATCCACCTGCGAATGCAGGGGCCATGGGTTCGAGCCCTGGTCCAGGAAGATCCCACATGCTGTGGAGCAACTAAGCTCGTGAGCCACAACTACTGAAGCCCGCGTGCCAACAGCCCGTGCTCTGCAACAAGAGAAGCCACCTCAATGAGAAGACTGCGCACCACACGAAGAGCAGCCCCCACTTGCCGCATCTAGAGAAAAGGCCCGCACGTAGCAACGAAGACCCAACACAGCCAAAAATAAATTAATTAAATAAATTTTAAAAAACTGTACTTAAAAGTCTGCTTTTTGTTTCTTTCACTTTATGTCAATACAGAAACTTCATATAGAGTTTGACAAAGAAGCTATTCAAATTGTGTCACACTCGGGGCAGTGAGCTGAGGGTGGGAGTGGGAGGTGAAAGCTGGGGGAAGGAGGGAGGCATCACGGGTCAGTAAATGCTCAAGAAGGCTGTGTCATGATCAGCTGAGGTTCCGAGAAGCAGACGTCTTGGAGGTTATAAGAGGCCAACGAGGGGAAACAGTAGGAGGTGCTGAGAGATTTTGGAAGTTGTGGTCTAGAGGTGAAATTAGTTACCTAACCAATCTTTGGTCCAATTTCTCTTCTATAAATCACAGATGTTACGTGCACCTACCTTTATAGGGTTGCTGGTGGGGGGTTAGTCAAATTCATATATGTAAAGGGTCCAGAATATAGGAAAGATGTTATTACTAAAATGATTAGATTCCATGAATCAGGTTCTAGGGTTTCCCCAAAACTGTTTAGCGGCCTAAGAATCCTTAACAGACCTCTTGGGCATACAATTTAGGCCCTAAAATAAGCTAACTCATGACTAATTTCTATTGTTTAATATAGGACAGTCCGTCTGGACATCAGGTCAGTGTAGGACTGATCGTTACTCAAAACCATTGATAACAAATGCCAATGACGACAGGAACCAGGAGGGCAACCCAAGGACAGGATGCTGGGAGGAGCATGAAACCTGGAGGGTGGAAGCCCACCTCCAGGGGGCAGCAGCTACTGGCCTCATTGCACTGTGGGAGTGTAGACTAGGTTGCCAGGTGACAGCAAGAGAACATTTTCATCATTCATCAGAATTAATGTGCTATCCCACAAAGCAAGGTGATGCTACAAGGATGTTTTTGGAAAGTTACACACACAAACCAACAGTGGTTAGGTAACAGGGTTTCCAGCACAGGGAGAAGAGCTACACTTTCTGTCTTATCCCCAACTGTTGGGGGTTATTTGATTTGTATATTAAAATACAGTTAATTTATAAATTTTTTAAAAAGCACACAGACATACAAAATGTTTCAAGCAGTCCTACACTTAGAGCCAAGAAACCCATTAACTTTATTCAGCCCAGCAGTTCTCATACCGTTTGACCTGGAAGCTTTGTGTGCCTCATAAAATGTATTAACACCCTAGAAAGCACACTTTGGGAAAGGCTGCTCAGCTTTCAAAAAGAAGACCCAAGCAAACCAATCAACATAAACACATAGGATGTTGTTACGGTGCCATATGCCCGGAGCACCCCAGAGCTGTTCCTCCAATGGTGCTGGCAGACCTCTGCCACCTGCCATCCTTGTATCATCAGCTGGGACACAGCAGTTACTCCTGAGGGCCTGACCCTCTATCTCTTCTCACTGCTCAGCTCACAGCGAACAGGTCTGAGCATCACATTAGCACTTAAAAATGTGAGTTTCCCCCTGAATCCTTGGAAAAGTTTTTTTTTCTCTTTTACTATTTCTCTAACAATCACCTTACTACAGAGGCTTTATGAGTATGTGAAAGATAGAGAACTAGCTCCTCCAATGAGGCTTGAATACACTTGGTACTGTTGGAACCCTGCCAATGGTGTTATGATGAATTATAATGACAACAGCATATTTCTCACTTGCTTCTCTTTTATCTTCTTTAACAGCTTGTGAACATGGAGAGCAGGCTGTGGTAGCCTTAGATTCCTTGTCTGTAAAATCAGCATAATAATATTCATCTTACAGAGTTTTGTCAGCAAGAATTTTTTAAAGATCAAATAAAAAGGCAAATGTGTGTAAAACAATACCGGAGATGTAGCAGTAGCCAATCACTGACAACTACTGATATTCTTTCTATACTTCCTCTTGGAGGATGGAAGGAACCATGGATCTGACATGTGTACATTCACTAGAGTAAGTCACAGAATTGTAGTGCTTGCAGTTGGTTGAAATTTTTTAATAGGTTGGAAGGATTTTAGAAATGATCTTTTACAGATGATAAAGAGAGAAACTGAGGCTGAGAAAAATCAAGCAACTTGACCATGTTTTTCACATGCGTGTAAATTACCATCCCCCCAACACTTGGATCTCACACTAAGAACACAAAAC